ACTTCCGGTGTCATGCACCAAAGTTGATTGGTAGCATGGACAGGTGTCAATAACGAAGCGAATATTCAAAAAGACTTGCCTTTGCGCCACACAGGCACAGTGCCACGTGGAATAGTAATTAATTTTGCCTTTTTCGAACTTGTGGCTGATCAGCACCACCTCTATTAGGCAATCCAGTCGCGCTCACCTTTGCTTTTCCATTCAGTACTTTCCGTGTTTCGGCATTTCAGCAAATTTTCGCGTTGCCACTGGTTACACATTGCATTGCGCCCTCGCTTTTGTTGTTTCCTTCACTTCCCTTCCTTTGCCTAGCCCCACCATGGGTCCCTTACTCTTGTTTTCATTCTCACCCGACGGTCGTTTCTGGATCCCCATTTTAGTTCACCTCCTCGTCACCTCCAGCCTCCTCCTCCTCATCTTCTTTGCTCCCCCACCCTTTCTGATGTCACCACTTCCTATCCGCTTCCATCGCCGATCCGTCAACTACCACGTGCCACTGCTGATATCAGCAAAGCCCCGGCGGCCGGTTCAAATAGGGCAACAGGTCCATCTTTATGACGTCGATCTACCATCATATACTATCAAAACATCGGTCGCTTGTCTTGCCTGGTTGGAGCGTGGGTGGGTAGTTTTTGAGCTGGAGAAGGTTCATCCCCTTGCGTTGCCCATGTTCATCGCTGTCCCATTCACTTGGGTACACTTATCTTTTGTCCATTGTCTTCGCTACAGCTACACCTACCACACCCTGCCTGGGACTCACTTGTTCCAAATTGGAACTACTCCTCTCCCTCCCTCGTTTGATCAGGTGGTCCAACACAACCAGTCCATTGGTAAGGCCATGGAACTGTCGGATTTGGACTAGGTGGTGGACCGGTGGCTCCAGTTTCTTTTTCTTCAGCAGAACATTCATTTACAGTGCGATTATTTTTGATTTTTGAATCATTTTTATGGACACATATTTTTTAGAATGCCTGACTGACAATAAAGGAACTGTGTTGATACTGATAGTGTTTTGCCTTGCCCTTTTTTTACTGCATCTTCCCCATGACATTATGATTTTCCTGCTCTCTTTTTGCTATTGGACTTTACTTTATGGCTGTACAAACCTGTGACATTACTCACAGCATTCATTGTTCTATCTCTTTCTTTTCCTTTTTTTGACAATCTTATCCTGTACTACCTACGCAGGATTTGTCAGCATACATTCCTTCCTTCATGTTCTTTCTCATTCTTTTTGCACAGCTATACTGTGCATAGCCTACTTTTCTTTTACTATATAAACCCCTGTATTTTACCTTGTGAAAAGAACAAGAACTCAAATCCAGACTTCTTCTCTAATCTCAAGTTCACTACTCACTACTACTTGTGATCCAGTGTGGTCACAAAACTTCCCACTTCTACCACTGTTAACTGCTGTCATTGTCACTCGTCACTTTTTGAAAGTGATTGTCATCCCTTTCGATTAGAGTCCTTCTGAGCACTACAGTTTGTGCGTCAGGAGCCTGCTATCACTGGGAACCTCGTCACCTCGTCATCCTCGTTGTTCTCAAACCTACCTTGTGCTACAATTAGCAAGGTAGTGCTCGTCTATACTCGCCACAAAGCCCCTATCTTTCTATATTCCAACTATCCCTCCTCCTCAAAACCCACACCCATACATCTCAGGGTTTTACTTTGAAGGATCCTTATACATACCATCCCACGAACAACCAGAGCACCCACTGTTCTAGGAGGCAAAGCCCATAAACAAGTTCTGTGGAATCTGGGAGGATTGTGTGTTAGTTTGTTTTTGTGTGTGGAACAACAGTTCTCATCATCGACAGCGCCCATATTAGCATTTCCAGAATTAGACAAAGAGTTCCGGCTAGAAACTGACTCTTCTGATTTTGCTACTGGGGCTGTTTTGTCAATTAAATGCCCTGACGATCTTTGGAGGCCTTGTGCCTATTTATCGCATAGTTTGTCGCCTACAGAGTGCAACTATCAAATTTACGACAAGGAGATGCTGGCCATCATTAGAGCCTTAGAGCACTGGCGGCACTACTTAGAAGGTGCTAGACACCAATTTGAAATTTGGACTGATCATAAGAATCTGGAGTATTTTATGACGGCCCGAGACTTGAACCAAAGACAGGCCCACTACGCGGTATACTTGTCTAGGTTTAATTATAAATTAATTCATAAGCCTGGAAGCTCTATGGGGAAAGCGGACACTTTGTCCAGAAAAGAGGATCATGCCAACGGCATTAAAGATGATAACAAAGGTGTTACCCTGATGGACCAATCAAGGGTAGCCAATGTTAGAATTGGGCAGGATTCCAATCTTCTGGAAGTCTTCAAGAAAGACATCTCCTCAGAAGAGAAGGCGCGCCTTGACGGCAATGAAAATTATTTATGGGAAGACGGGCTCTTCCATTTTAAAGACAAAATCTATGTGCCTGAGTCCGCAAGGATCAAGACAATAGACAGACATCACGACACTCCAGTGGCTGGGCACCCTGGGTGGCAATGAACAATGGAGTTGATCTCCAGAAACTACATGTGGCCTGGCATGGTCAAAAACGTACAGGAATATGTAAAATCCTGTCTGAGATGTGCCATGGCAAAGAATTCTCATCAACCGCCGGCCGGTAAACTTATGCCAAATCTGATACCAGCTGGTCCCTGGCAGGATATATTGGTTGATTTCACGACGGATCTGCCCGAGTCATATGGGTATGATTCAGTAATGGTGGTAGTGGATCGCTTCTCCAAAGAAGTAGTATTCATACCTACCAATAAAACCATTACCGCTGCGGGTACGGCATATTTATTTAAAGATTTTGTATGGTCTATCCACGGGTTACCAGAAACGGTTATCTCCGATAGAGGACCTCAATTTGCTAGCAAATTTATGAAAGAATTATGTAAGATGCTGGGCATCAAACCTAAATTATCAACGGTGTTCCATCCGCAAACTGATGGACAAACAGAGAGGCTCAATCAGGAATTGAAGCAATACCTCTGGATATTTATTAATGACAGACAGACAGATTGGGCCAAGTGGCTAAAGATAGCCCAGTTCTCATATAATATCAAACAGTCGTCGGCTACAGGAAAGGCACCATTCGAGGTTACCAGATTGTACCTCCCCAGAATGGGTGTAGAACCTGGTAAAAGCAAA